CAGAAGAGGCAATCCTCCTCAGGGAGGGTTCGTCGGCCAAAAGCGACTGCAGAAGCATAAGGATCAAGGATCCCCGTGGCGACCGGGCCACGCAGCAACAGGCGGCCCACTTCGCCCCCAGCACACATCCATTACCCCATCGGCTCATCCCGCGTTTGCACTAGGCGCTTGCAATGAGAATTTATGTTCTAATAAGTGATTCACACTCTTCCCGCGGTTATACGCAAACTGCGCGCCACGGTGATAATCTTTTCTCTTCGCGCGGTATGTTCAGCATTAATCGACCACACGTGTCGTAATAATTGTGACTTTTGAAGCAATGGTGACAGGAGGAATATGAGTTATTGCTGATTTAAGATTTATTATTATTATTATTATTATTATTATTATTACGTGTTGATATATCGTCGCATACAACGATTGCCATCATGAAATATAAACGACACTAATTTTTAATATAGCTACCATTATTTTTCTCGTCATTATTTTAATAACGTAATAATTATTTTGATCATGTAACATGTCACAGCATTAAATTTATTAAGCAATGACTATATCTCAATTTTCACGGTTGATCCTTAATATTTCTTTTTATTCTGCTGTTTAGTTGACTCTGATTTTACATATCAGCGTATTTTTGAAACCTGAAGAATAACACACCGAGTGTGAATTTTGTCAAGCAAAGAATGTGCCGGTTAAAATTATTTTTGAACGTTAACAAAAAAATTTTACATCTCGCCAATCCTAATGTTCTTGAAACAGCCATGCAGATGGCGCAGATTGATTAAATGTTTCGTAATAAAAAGATTTTAATCGACGTAGAAAAATGCAGTATGCTATGTGGTTAGTAAAACCAGTTCTTTGCCGCGCGTCCTCGTATCTCCTTCGCCTGTTTAGTTCATCGTAATTGTACGCATGTATATGCACACGTGTTTGTTTGAAGTGTTAGACTTGTTTAATCCGCACGAAACCAAAATCCAAATCGTGTTGTACGTTTAACGTACAACACGATTTGGATTTGGACGAGGGCTTTTCTTATTTCCTCATCACCGATATAGATTCTACATGAAGCTGCGCGTATACGTACAGCTATAACAAGATAGCGTAATGGGACGGTGATAAAAAAAAAAACAACCTCAACACGATGTCGCAGTTTGTTCGAATCACTTGTGTGCCTCTCGACAAAAAGAGATTCACGCCAACCAAATCGCATATTTATGACGTGATTAAATGTGTGAAAGGCATTAAGCAAAATCCAGTTCCGCACCTTCGACTCTGTCTCTACGTCTTTCAGCGTGCGGGAACTATTCTGAAAGGGGTTCGTATATCGAGAATCATGTTGGTAGCCGGCCTCGTCGTTAATCGGGGCACAGAAATGTGCCTTTCCTCGCGGCACTTTGCACATCCTTATTTACGGCGGAATAATCGACGCTTAATTATAGACTCCATGACGAAAACGACCTTCTGCTTACCTAAATGGGGACTATAGACCACTCGCATGCTCACAGGTCGATATTACGGAAATGAAACATCGCCGAACTGTTCATTTCACACGCCAATTGCATGTTTATTCGCGTTCGTTGTTCATCGATGATAGCTACTTATCCTGAATTTTGATTCAACATTTATTTCAAGGATAATCCACATGAGACACCATAATTTTCTCGGCAGTAAGAGCATATTGCGAGGTTTTAAGGTTTTTGCACGTTTTAAGACGGCATAAATGAGAGCGGCGGGAAAGAAAGAAGATACAAGAACTTTCATATTAGTTAAAAATGTCGTGAGAATGCAATCGGTAGATACTCAAAAATTGAGAGGAATCGTAAGTTACAAGTACAAATTACTTTTTTTGCTATTGATGTGAATTAAGAGGAACCTATGATCTTATTTTAAGCATCTTTTATATCAGTTATTTTTCATATTTGCCATTTTATAGTAGAATGATCAGTAATATGATAAAACCAATTATTTTCCACTTGTTCACCTGACTCTTCCTGATGGCAGCAATTTTTTACGAAATAGTTATATTACTACTTATAAAACGCACGTATTAAAATACGCTATATTCGACAAAGAATTTTATAGAATATTGTAAAATAGTATCAGAAGCTTGCGATAGTTCGTCGAATTTTTAGCCATATTTCTTTTATTAATAGTAACAGAACGGTACTTGTTCTGTTCAATCAAAGTATCTGCCGTCGTTATCCGCTACTTTTCGCTACCTTTCAGATAACTATTTGCTTTCGCTCCTAAAAATTATCTCTTACATAGTCATTGACAATTCGACGAATTATAATATTGCAGACTCCTAATATAATAAATACGTTGATAATAATTTCATTTACTATCCATCATACTTGAATAACTTATTGAAATGATAGTTCATTCTCATCAAAGCGAAGCGTGGAACTTACGCGATATGTTATTTTGAGCACAAAGCGAACACTCCTCTTCGTTCTTTAAGATCTTAATAAATGGTTTGTTTGCTCAAATCCACCGCTCCAACAGTTTAGCATCGAAATCAATTTTCAAAAGCGTCAGCGCCGGCTGGTAAACAAAATGTCTCATGTTGGCGAACATGATCTTTTGTAAATCAATTATTTTTCTCTCAATGTGAGTATGGGTTGTCTATTTTCATTTCTAAGTGACCTGTTAGTCCAATGCAGCTTTGCTTCGGCGGAATGATTTTCGTGGAATTTCGGTAGCACTTATTGTTCGAATTTATAAGAACAATCGTTGATTCGCTTAATCATCGACATGATTACAGAGCGTTAATGTAATAAAATAATAACGATATCGAAGTCTCGCATCGCTGTTGGTGAAATCTCCCGCAAATATCCATTCGCAGTATCGCTCACAGCCACAAGCTCATAGAAGTATCGCTTATGACTATAAACGATGCTGTACTACCGATTTTACGAACGAGGGTTTGAGGGCCACCGTGTGATGTCACATACGTACGTGACGAGTAAGTCCCTTATTTTAAGGCCGGGCACCATAATCACTATCGGACGGCGCGTAGACCCATTCTTGCTTCTCGCGCAAACGGAGCGTACGCGAAATAGTCACACGCAAGATGCGAGCCGAGGTGAAAGGATGCTACATTAGCCAGGCAGGCATGATGCGAGGCATCGAGAGAGGAAGCCGAAACATGTACAAGAAAGACTTTAGCTGCGCGTATCCCGTTTGGGGGCCGAGCCGGACGGTCTGAGACCTTCGTTCGAGCTAAGCCGAGAGAACTGGAGAGCGAAAGAGAGGGCAACCCCCCGCGCCTTACAATGCAGCCTGATTTATGGCCCGGGCGCACATACATAGAGTTACACACGATATCATAATACCATTAATTCTTCGTCAAATTCCCCGCTGACTGAATCATACTGGCCGCGCAGTAAATCACACGGGGCGACTAATGTGAGCATGACCAGCGCTCGCTGTCTTATCTTCTTTGAACCGCGGGGGCAGGTGGATCCAGTCTTGGCCTCTGCTGAATTACTGTTACCTATTCTGGCCGCACCCCCACACTACTTTTCGACGGTTCTCGAATCGCGGGGCTTTCGTTTCCGCGTAGACGCGGCCGATCTCTGATAGGGACACGGATCGTGACGCTTTGTGCCGGCGGTTTTCCTTATTGAGCGAGTTTACTCGAGATATCGTCTTTTATATAATCGCCGTTTACCCGACCGAAGTGTTATTAACCGTATGGTCTTTGTTTCCTTGTTTCTCGTTTTGTTCTTTTCTTTTGCTCCTTTTGCTCAAGAAGAATGATGTTACTGCGCGCTTGATCATTGCTGATTCATATTCTGCTTGACTGTTTTATTAACATTTACCTCGGAATGCATGATGGTTTCTACATCTGTTTATATTGATGTAAATATACATTACATAAATATACTGTACAACAATGGTATTATATATGTGTATAATATTAAGATTAAAACATTAAAAGATTGAAAGTAAAAAATTTTTTGCAGCATTGTAGCAAAGTTACTAACATGAAGAAATTTATATTATAATTTTGAATTTTATACACTTGGCATCTTCTCCTCCTCCTCCTCTTCCTTCTCTCTCTTTCTCTCTCTCTCTCTTTCTCTCTTTCTCTCTCTCTCTCTCTCTCTCTCTCTCTCTCTCTCTCTCTCTCTCTCTCTCTCTCTCTCTCTCTCTCTCTCTCTCTATTTCTCACCGTCAGATAATACAGTTTATTGATTGTTTCCAGCTACTCTTATACAACGTCTGATTTTAGACATTGTATACTTACTATGACTACGCGACTTATTTATAGCTCAATGTATCCTTCCTAATTTTTCCTAAGCTTTTTGCGTAAAAGTTATATTAAACAAAGATGTGCGTGACGCAAATTAACGTCGCTGAATTTTAACTATAATATTTCAAGATTGAATATCTATGTACAAATAAATATTTTCTTTCCAATGACACATTTCGAATGTCAGGACTTACGTATTCCCGTTTATCAATATACCGTTAAAATGTGCGATATGATATATGAGAGGAGAGAAAAAGGGAGATTTACATTATTAAAATTAGTTAAATTTGCAATAGATAATCGTATATTTCAACTATGATTTAGTATTCTTATTCCGTTGTATGTACAAATGATATGCTAAATGTTATAAGGATAATTTTATGCGATTAATATATTAGCGCGTCCAAACTCTTACAAATCATATACCAAGCTTGCTTGAAAGTTACAGAAAATTAAAAAGTGCGAAATTTTTGATATCGATAAGATTTAATAGCATAAGCATATCAAGCTATATGGAATTAAATAATTAAATATATATTGCGTGTAGCTTAACAAAAAATCTGTCTGGATAACCCTACCAACATTCATGGGATCTTCCTATCAGTGAGAGAGATCAAAAGCGGGTTTCTTAATCTTCGAAGAACCAAAAGAGAAAATGCGAAGCATATTTCATCAAAAATATCTTGCCATTTGCAATAACAATAGGATTAAAAAGGTATATAGCAGATGAGCGACTTACTCTGACCAATGTGAACTCTCTTCATCCACGGGTATATTTGAGGCGGGTTACTACCGGAGGCGTTCCCTTTGTTGGACGAGTTGTTACCCGTGCTGGAGGTGCTGGACGTAGAGGAAGCGGGTGACGAGGCAGAAGACGCCGTGGTCAACGTCGAATTTCCCTCGCCGACACCTCTCGAACTACCACTGGGGGGCGAAGCAGCGGAAGCAGCCACGGACGACCTTGACGAGCTACCAGGCGGCGAAGTCAATCCTGATCCGGCTTTACTCGTTCCGGGTGCCACCAAGGGCGTCGGACTGTTTCTCGAGGTGGATGTGGTCAGATCTTGAGGAGACGCCACGCTAGTGGACGACGTCGAATCAGCATACTTGCAGCTGGACGTTGACGGTGCTGACGGTGCCGAGCCGCCTTGCAGAAGGGGTGTCGTCGGATCCGCGTGAAGTTGTTGCTGAGGATGATGTGGTTGCTGATGGTGCTGCGACTGCTGAGCGTGGATACTGTGCTGCTGTGATGTTGCTGTCGCGTTGAGTCGGGGCTGCGGTTGCAGTTGAGTATAGTCTATCATCCCTGTTGGTGCTGTGTGTTGCATACCGGATGCCGGGGTAGCATAAGGATGCTGCGGATAATGTTGCTGAGGTGAGTAACAGGGCGCGGGATAACTGGTAGACGCCGCGTTCGGATTGTAATAGTCTCCACCGGCCGGCGATGCTGCCTGCATCGGTTCGCCAGGCGAATTCGGAGTCGGTCTCGGCTGTTGTTGTGGCTGTTGACCCGCGTAGCATGATGCGAGCGAGTTGACGAACTGATAGGAACTCATTCTTCACGTACCTCTCACCCGTCGTCGATCTCTCACTGTACCGATCTCTTTACACGTCTGCACGTGCCGTCATTCACGAAAACACCAACTGCGTTGCGGTCTCGATTGGCCGAGACGATGAAACAACGAGCGCCGTCATTAAGTATAGAATCGCGTCATCGTGCCTTCGCGACTTCTCGCGACGATGAGAATCGCGTGACACTTCCGCGGCCGCGAGCGCTTCACCTTGCCCGTGAGGAACGTTTCACAAGTATCACGACCTGTTACACGCGGACGAAACACGTCTCTAAACGATTCGATAATGAACGAGGGGTTCCAGGACTAATAGAGAGAGAGGCAGACGGCTGGCGGCAGGCGGGTCGTGCCTGAGTACGAGCCGACCTGCGAGTCAAGTTTACGAGGGCCACGTGGGCCTGGGCTATAAAACTGTCTTCCGCTTCTTTACGACCTCACGAGTCGCGATTACCTACAGAGAATGCGTGGACCCACTGTGCAGTAGCGCGTAACGACCGGCTTATCGAGGCGCTCCATTGAAGATGACCTCATAAAGTCCCGCCTCAATAAAACATAACATGCGATGGTAACACGTTATGAACGCATTAAAATTATTCACGCGATGATTAATTGCGCCTCAACGTTGTCGTTGTCACTTGGGTTGTTGTTGTTGTTGTTGTTGTTGTTGTTGTTGTTGTTGTTGCACTTTAATAGACTCGTATCGCGACTGCGGCGACGGCGACGGCGGCGGCGGAGCAAGCCCGGCGAGTACGAGCGAGACTCATACTCGTATCACCGCGACTCAGAGGGTGAGGAGTATCGCGCGGTTCGCCGTTCCTGTTGCGTGCGCGAAGGGTGGTTGGTATCGTACTGAAGGCCTCGCCACGATCCAACGGAGGGCCGGTGTGTGCGGTAGCTTGTCACGTGCCCGCGCTCTCTGCGTGTCAGAGGAGCGCCTCGACCAATCCCCGCCGTTCGTCAAACCTTGATTGGTCTCTCCGCCGGCGTAGGATTCTTCAACCCCGTTTCTTGCGTCTCCGTCGAGTCTCCGCTGCCGCTGGCGCCCGTCGTGTGGTGGTGTTGCCTGGCTGCTACCCGACGTGACAGGAACCGATGAGAGGGGTGCACACAAGAGAGAGAAAGAGGGCGAGAGAGGGGTCAAAGAGAGGGGATAGCACCATCAGGGGGGCTAATGGAGAGATATTCGGGAGCCCTGAAACCGTTGGTGGGGGGGAGAAGTATCTCGATCGCTCTCTCGTTCTCCTCTGCAGCCTTCTAGCCGCGATGTCACCAAGAAGCAGTCTTCCGTCCGCTTTGCGAGGGGGGTTACGCGCGCACGCGCCCCCTACTGTATAGTAGCCTCGTGGTGGAGAGACAGATGAAAAAGAAAAGGTGTGGTACGGCACACGGCTAGGAAACGTGATTGCGCTTCTCTTACTGATTGACCGAAAACGACTCGCCCGTTAACATCGTCCGCATCTATCGTCAATTTCGCCGTCTCGTCAATTCATCTCGGTATTATGAGCTTGCGCGAAAGCGTCTCGCTTCTTCACCCGAGGAGGTAGAGGAGAAGACGTAGACGTTTTGGGAGTGCGACTTACTGTACTCGCGACGGGATATCGCAACCGCGGAATCGCGAGGCGAAGGCTCGTAAGCGCACGTCGTCGTCGTGTTCACTTTTGACCGGCTCCTCTCTCCGAGACCACGGAGATCGTGTGTCGTCTGATCTCTCGTTAAAAGATTCGTAATGGGATCGTGATCGTTGCGCGAGAAGTACAGATCTTGCCTGCGAACGTGTGGTTCTCCAGCCGCGGCTAAAGAAGGGGCGCACATAAGTCAGCCCGGCGGTCGCGGCTGACAGTTTTATGAGAGTTTGATAGTCTCGGTTGTTCGTTCCTCTCCTCGCGACGAAAGGACAGGATGTCTAGACGAGAGAAAGAGCAGCCTAGAGCAGGAGAGAAAGGCGTAAAGAAAAAAAGAAAGAGAGAGAGAGAGAGAGAGAGAAAGAGAGAGAGAGAGAGAGAGAGAGAGAGAGAGAGAGAGAGAGAGAGAGAGAGAGAGAGAGAGACACGCACACTACGCACCGCACTCTTTATTGTCCCATAAATTCAAACCTGTTGCCTGTAGCCGAGAAAGACGAGGAAAGGAGAGTGTGCACGAGGTGGAATCCTTTCCCAATCGCGATTTGATTGACGCCCCCGTTATCGCTCGTACGGCGAACCCGAACGCAACTCGTAACTTACTGAACCGACTGAGCCGGCCGAGAGGAGAGGCTTCGGAGTTGGCGGCTCCAAGCAGAAGCATGTGTGACGTAGTAGCCAGTTGGTCAAACGGGGGGCACTTCAGGATAGCGATGTGGCGGAGGGGACGGCTGAGGAGGCGGAGCTCTCTTTGCTCGTCGCAGATAAGACTTTAAACAAGTTTCTTTGCTTTAAGCCGAATTTGTTTGGCACTTTAACCATGTGCTAGTTGTATTTTCCGTTGATCTCACATGAAATTTCTACTTCTACGTTGCACATTTTTCCAACTTTCCAAATCGTCTCGTTATATTACTCTCACTGACTTTTCAAACCGTTACTGTTGCAACATGCAGTCTTTTGTACAATTTTAACATTTATCTAACAGAACCGTCGTTCACAAAGTGAAGCCGTCAATTTAGATCCGCGCGTGTCACTGATCATCTATTAGTCTCTCATTTTTGTTCTTTCTTCTTTCGCGAGCTCGTGGATCGCTCTCGTGGCATTTCAATTTGCGGCCTTAGTAATTTGAGAAAAAGAATAAGCGTTTTGAATAGAGCCGATAGTGTGGCAGTTGCTCGCCAGATGTGGTGAGTGCGGCCGTTCCCGTTGAATTGTGGCGCGCGCCCGCCCTCGGCCGTCCTACCCTTTCCTCTTCTCCTCCCCACCATCTAATCGTCTGCCCCACCGCTCAGACGAAACTGGCTATCTCTTCCACTTTGAGTCGTCGCATCTGTGTACGTATGCCGCCGTGGCGAGCACCCCCACCATCTCCGTAGCATTCACCACTTCAGAGTTCGCCGCGCGTTTGTCCTATATCTACATCATTCTAATAAAGTTAATGATACCTGAGTACCCGGGTACCTAGATACTCGCTCACTACCCGAAATACGCGGCTAATATCCGGGTACCCGGCGGGTACCGCTGCCGTATTACTCGGGTATCCGTAATACCCATGTTGTGTTATATTGTGTTCATATTATTTGTACAACTAATATTCCTGTATGCATTACGTTAATATTTAGAATATGCGTCGGCGATAATATGTGCTTTAGAATTTAGTTAGCTTTAAGTGATGGCAGTTATGGATTACTGAATTGTTAGTCGGTCCATAACCAAATTGTTGCTCGAGATATTGGAATAAGTAAGTTAGGGTTCATCGGGCAGAGTCTAAGGCGTATGAAATACACGTACGGCGAAGTAAATATCATACATACCTCCAGTAGTTTGTCCAATACCATGCGGCGTTAACAAATTCTCGTATTCTTTTCTTCTTTGAAGACCGTGAGGAGCAGACATATTAGCGGATTTTTGTGCGCGCCAGTTTAAATGACTGGTGTGAGCTGTCCCGCAGCGATTGGAACCTAATAAATGATTTGTATTACGGAGCAACCACGCCTTGGTATCTAGTTCGTTACACGGGCAGTGTGCAAATTTACAATCTTTCGAGTAGTAATTGCATAAGTTAAATCGTATTTTCAGTCTTATATCGAAACGCTATCTTATCAATTATCAATTAATAAAGATATTTTCTTGTTTTCACATTCAAATTTATTTATTTACAGATCGAAATCTAGTACTTTACCCGCGCCTTCTATGCTTTTTACAGATTTTTTAAATGCACGCTATTTAGTTTCAAGATTTTCATAAATTATATTTTAAAATTTTATTTTATTGTATTCCATTTGGTTATAAATTCTTCGATTCTTTCTTTTGTCATGAAAGATTAGCTTGATGTATTTTTTGATATAAAAATATTTGTTCTTTTTTATTTCGAAAAATTTATTTTATTATTTCATTTTAATCTCGAATAGAGATTTAAAAAAATTTTTTATCGTTAAAATTATATGCAGAGAATTATATGAGGGAAAGCAAAGAACGCAACATAATATTTTTTAATACATCTCATACAGGTTTATTTAATAATTAAATTCTTTTTATTTGACCATATGAGAAAGAAGATCGATGAGAATGATTGGTTAATACAATTGATGTCTAATGACAAAAAGTAAGATTTTGATCGGCCTATTGCAGTCGATTCAAAGTGCATTGTCTCGAAGTCTCGTGTCACTCTTCATCGTGGACCCTTCCATTAGAAATTCTAATAAAGCCGTCGCAGGTGTAAAAAACGTATCAAGACCTCCATGAATCATGTGTCGCAAAGCGGAGCCGCCAAGACACGTGTATCTGTTATGCTTTCTCTCGCTAACTTGCGGTACGGTTTATGCACCCCGCCTTTTCGTTCTCCTTCCCCCTTTCCACTGCCATAATCTGCCCCACCATCATCCATCCGGTGTCAACGGTTCGACGACTCCGTCGAAATAATTATTATCATTAGAATTAGGCTGCAATTACATAAAAGGAGAATGATTCGAATCATATGTCTAATTGTTCAAGCAACTTTGAATCAATGATATGACGTTATAAGCAAATCAATTGGACAGTAAAAATTCCAATATCTGTTCAAGTTGTAATATTACTACATCGTTTTTTTTTCTTTTTATCAGCATCATAAAAGTAAATTTATTGAGAACTTATAAAGGAAATTTAATCATATTTTGGCAGGAAAAGGTTTCTATAAATAATAAGTTTTAGAGTTATTAAAAAAATTAACAGTTTATAATTTCTTTTCTAATAGAAATATAAATTACATTAATATAAACATTAATATTACATTCGTACAAACACATATACATTACTTCTAAATATATTTGAATATGATGCATTTGGCACATGTTGAAGTCATTGATGAAGTTAAAATTTCATGTTTACACAAACATACGATTAAATTGTCTTCTACTGCACTAATATAAACCTTCAATCAGTTTAAATCACTTTATATTTAATGAGGAATAAATTTAGAATTATGCTCTTGCAAAAAGTTTTGCAAATTTTTCACGAGAACTGCAGAAATAGATTTACATCATTTGTAAGTTGAAGCCAGTCTGTTAATTTATATTAACTTATTCAATCGTAATTGTGTGTATATTTATTTTGCGCTAAAACATCGCAACGTTTAAAAAAGTAAATTTTACGCAGAAAGTAGAGAAAGAATATATTCAATTTGAGGTTCACAGCTAAGATGCGTTGCACAAAAACCAATACGTATCCGCGTGCCGGCCATGATGGATTGTCGGAGCTATGGGAAACTATCTGTCAAGCACAATATCGACCCTCGCCCTCTTCGTCCAACCCCTACAAACTCGGGGTTCACTCTCGTTGCCGCCATCCGTCCTGGGGGGTGCGTTCTGCAATGTAGGTTTACCTACACATTGCCATACAAACCTTTCTCACCTCCTGCTTCCATTCTTTGCCCTCCTCTTTTCCATTTTCCTCCAAATCTTTGATTATTTCACAAATAGCCCATTTTCTATGTAAGTTCTTTGGCTGATTTAAGAATGCGTCTTAATATAATCTATACAAACTTATCACAGCATTTAGAGAAGATTAGAGATAATTTTACATTTACTGTATCCCTACGCAATATACATATATATATATACATACACTCACAAAAGCATACGCACATAAATATACATATTTTATTACAATATTGTACAATAATAATAATGTAGTTTATTTTTATTACTTATGCAGTTTATCTCTGTTATTTCAACTTGCTATAGAAAAATACTGACAAAAAAACTTTATTCATTATATTTACTTATTAAAATTTCAATTTCGATTATATCTAATTTAAGTAATTTATTCTTTATTCTTATCACTTTTTGCAAGGGTGAACTGTATAAGTAATAGTACAAATAAGGCACTTCTGCCTCGTTCCTCTTCTCTATCCTCTTTTTCGCTTTCTCTCTTTCTCTCTCTCTCTCTCTCTCTCTCTCTCTCTCTCTCTTTATGTTTTAAAATAAAAATAAAAGAAGAAAAAATCAGGAAGTCGCGCTAAAAATATTTTGTCACCAGTAATAGAATTTTCTCTATCATACACATGGCAACATAAACAAATTAATTGATTAGCGCTTACTGTTTTATAAACCACAGTTTCCTGTATGAATAACGCGCACATGACAATATTTCAATTATGAAGAAAGCAATAAGTGAAATAGCGCATACTAATACAGTTCACAAAAAGCAAGTAAAAATTTACGTGTGTATTATGTGACTTTAGACAAAGCATGATAGATATAAATATTTTATATCGTGTTGTATTACATTCAGTTTCTCTCATTGTGTTGTCGCATTGTCACATTGTCGCATTACACTACTAACTCCTACAATATGAACTTATTGCTAATTTATTGAGAACGGATGGCAACTTATCAATGTTGTTCAAGTATTTCTGATCACGCACTCGCAAACAGAAAGTCTTCAAACTTTCTTATGTTGTAATACGAAGCACAGTAGATTTGGACTTAACGAAAGAGTTATCACTATATAAAACACTTAAAACGTTGAAAAAAATAAGAATAAAAGCAGGACGTCTGTGCACGCACGCTTTACGTTTTCAGCCATCTTGTTTCGTGTGAACGGCGCAGCTGCATAGCGATTCCCCCACTCTGTCTATTCACCCCCTCGGTTCTATCGTCCTAAGCCAGTCGAATAATTTCAAGTTAGTTTGCGTTTATTACGCACATATATGTATACACGTAAGAGGAACGAAACTGTATATAATTATACGTATAAGTCGTTATTTATACGTATAATTATATACAGTTTTTAAAAGTTTTTACACGAATACAAATAATAAATCTACTTTTATTTACATAGTATATTTTACAATCATTTTTCTGAAGATGTGTACACGCTAAACGAACGAACGACGAATGAACGGCAAACAACGAGCAACAAACAGTGAATTCGGCAAATGTGCACAGCAAATACAAACTGAATGTTCGGTTCACTTTCGATCCGATTCGCTCGTGAAGAAGTATATAAAAAAATGGATACATATTTCCATGTTCGTACGCTCAGTGCATACGCACCTTAAAATGACATTTTCGCGTTTAATCAATTGCTTGTTCAATTAATGCGGCCTGCTTTAGTGATCTCTAAATAATTCTTACGATAATAATAAGACGTCAAATTTGCCTAGTATATTTAATTTAATCTAGATTATAGATATTATATTTAACTTAAATATAATGTCTATAATCATTAATCAAATGTATGCGTATTTGACTTGATGAGTCAAAATATTTTTAGGAATGACGTGTGCAATACTTTCAGTCACACTTTACTTTTGAAATGCGAAGCTATCGACAGGGTGTTCCGAGGAAAATGCGATGCGAACGGCCGAGCTTTCGGGTACCTGGATAGGACGCTCACTGTTTAGCTCGTCCAGCCATAAATCATAGTGGTTGCAAGGTCAGCTGCCCCGATCTCGGCCGCCACAGCATTCCCTCTTCACTAACCAGTGTAAAGGACTAACTTTATCACGAAAATTCGCTATAATTTTACTTTTTAAGATAAATTTAATTAAAGCCGGAACGTATCAATAAGTACTAGCTTTTGTATATGATTATTGTTATCACAGTGTTAGTTGACTTTCTTAGATTAACTTTTGCAATACCATTAGGCGACTCTGTTCATATTAAAAAAAAATAGAAAATACATGAATTGATATAACAAAAGAGTGAGAGAAATAAAAAAAATTTCATTCTATCTTGTAGATTAGATTTTGTACATTAGATTCATTCTATTTTGTAGACAGATAATATTGACGCATCTGCATAATTGTAATGATGTTATTAACCAAATATTTTAAATATATATATATATATTTAATGTTCGGGATTTTTCGAAAACGAAACATTGTGAGGATTAATTAGATGAAACTGCGAAGAAAAGTCAAGTACCATTTTGCAAAAATCGCAATAGTTTAATTTTAATTTGACAACTAGAAAATTTGCGTACTTATCTGCAAAATGGTAAAGGACTTTCTTGTTTATAATGAACTAATTTATAATTATATAACGATTATTGTATCTAGTGATAAGTTCAAAATTTAGGGCTCAAAGTTCAATATACTCATATCTATCGCCAGACCGTTTCCAGTATCGTTTACAAAAAATTTCGGACACCGTATATTTACAGTCTGAAAACAATATATATGACTATAAATATATTTTATATATAAAGTTTATATAAATATTTATATAAATATTATATATATATATAATATTATAATAAATATTATATAAATATTTTATATATTAAATTTATATAAAAAATGAGCATAAAATCTCTTTGATATTCAACGCTTAAAAAAAAAATACATTATTGCAAAGGTTAATGAACATGCGTATTATACGTATTATGCGTAAATCACGTATTATACGTTTTCATCATATTCTAAAGATGCTTTTGTTCAATATAATTTTGATAAAACTGTTATTTAAAATAATTAAAAATTCTATGGTGCACAGCCAAATACGTATTGTTGCTACGGATAACTTTGGTAATTTTGATGTATTTTTGATGATATATGTTGAGGTTGTGGTTGTTGCGCCATCGACCACTGTTGCAGCACAATCGGCTGTTGCTGTTGCACAACTGATTTCTGTGAGATCGTTGGTTCCTGCACGGATGTTGTGTTGCAACTCAGACGTTGTTGGTTAATATTACTGATAGGTGATAGTTTCTGTTGTTCTTTTTTTGCTTTCATTCGCCTGTTTTGAAACCAAATTTTGATCTGTTTTTCTGATAGATTCAATTGTTTGGCCAACGACAAACGATCCGTTTTATTGAGATAACTATTCGTGTAAAATGCTTCCTCCAAGCGCAAAGTTTGACATTGCATATATGTTTGTCTTTTGCGTTCTCGTTTTTTTTCATTACCTACACAAAAATATATTCGTATTATAAATTATAATTCGGTATAATTATATTACATATGCATTTAATATACATTTAATTACTTTATAACAAAACTCTGGCATATATATATATATAAATTTATAATAATTTATATTATATATAAATTTATTTATATTTATGTTATATATATAACGTTGACGCGCGACATATCAATGGATCTCCACTGCACATTTTCATATAAAGAAAACAGTTGAAATTTGATTTTCTAGTTACATAAAAGTGATATAAAAGCAAATCTCAAAAATTTCTTACTTTCCTCTTGTAACATCGATATTCCTTGAATAATCATAACGGTAAAAAACTTATTTTTGAAATTAATATTAGCAGCGGTAACGAATTATTTTATCTAGTGACGATAACGGATTACTTTCAAGAAGAATCTTTCCCAATCCCGCTTTTAATATCCGTGCATTATTTATGCAAGACGAAAATAGATTACCCGAGCGCTTGCGATACAATGCGCCATGTGCGCCACGTGCGCCACGTTATAGTTATAAGGATTAGCTTACCTGGATTAACGTCAAACTTCATCCATGGATAAATTGCATATACTTGTTGATCGCACTTAGGACCATCAACTGCAATCTGATTTTGTTCCTTATTATTGTTGCCCGGATAATTTTGTTGTGTTTCAAATTGTTGTGCAATGTTTACATTGCTTTGTTGCAATGCTTCTTGTAACGGTCTTGAAACAGAAGAGTCTTGATAACTAGCTGCAATCGGACTGTGTTGTTGTTTGTTATTACTGTCCACGTAATTTTGTTGCGTTGCATATTGCTGTGTAGTGTATATATTTCTTTGTTTTGATGCCTCTAATAACGGCCTTAAAATAGGCGATACTTGTAAAGGCTCTGGAACAGGCGACATCTGATTGTTAGCTGCAAGGTGATTTTGTTGCTTGTTATTGTTGTCGGCGTAATTCTGTTGCGCTGTATATTGCTGTACGGCATTTATTTTGCTCGATACCTCTTGCAATGGTCTTGCAATGGGTGAGACTTGATAATTAACTGCAATCGGACTTTGTTGTTTGTTATTACTGTCCATGTAATTTTGTTGCGCTGCATATTGCTGTACGGTATTTATATCGCTCTGTCGCGATGCCTCTTGTGACGATCTTGAAACAGGCGAATCCTGAGAATTAGCTGCAATCGGACTTTGTCGTTTGCTATTGTCACCCGCGTAATTTTGTTCCGCCGCATATTGCTGTGTAGCGTATACATGTCCTGATACCTCTAGTAATGACCTTAAAACAGGCGATACCTGATTGTTAGCTACATGGTGATTTTGTTGCTCACTACTACTGTTGCCGGCGTAATTCTGCTGCGCTGCATATTGCTGTATGGTATTTATGTCGTTGTGTTGTGGTTCCTCTAGTAACGATTTTAAAACAGGCGAATCCTGAGAATTAGCTGCTATCGGACTTTGTTGTTTGCTATTGTCACCCGCGTAATTTTGTTGCGCTGCATATTGCTGTGTTGCGTAAATATTCCCTTCTTCGGGTGCCTCTAGTAATGGCCTTAGAATAGGCGACACCTGATTGTTAGCTACAAGGTGATTTCGTCGCACGCTACTGTTGCCGGCGTAATTCTGCTGCGCTGCATATTGCTGTATGGTATTTATGTCGCTGTGTTGTGGTTCCTGTAGTAACGATTTTAAAACAGGCGAATCCTGAGAATTAGCTGCAATCGGACTTTGTTGTTTGCTATTGTCACCCGCGTAATTTTGTTGCGCTGCGTATTGCTGTGTAGCGTAAATATTCCCTTCTTCGGGTGCCTCTAGTAATGGTCTTAGAATAGGCGACACCTGATTATTAGTTGTAACGTGATTTTGTTGCTTACTATTGTTGCCGGCGTAATTCTGCTGCGCTGCATATTGCTGTATGGTATTTATGTCGCTGTGTTGTGGTTCCTCTTGTAACGGTCTTGAAACATTAGGCGAGAGTTGATAATTAGCTGCAATCGGACTTTGTTGTTTGCTATTGTCACTCGCGTAATTTTGTTGCGCTGCATATTGCTGTGTAGCGTATACATTTTTTTGTCCCGAGGCCTCTGGTAACGGCCTTAGAATAGGCGACACCTGATTATTAGTTGTAACGTGATTTTGTTGCTTACTATTGTTGCCGGCGTAATTCTGCTGCGCTGCATATTGCTGTATGATATTTATGTCGTTGTATTGTGGTTCCTCTTGTAACGGTCTTGAAATATTAGGCGAGAGTTGATAATTAGCTGCAATCGGACTTTGTTGTTTGCTATTGTCACTCGCGTAATTTTGTTGCGCTGCATATTGTTGTGTAGCGTATACATTTTTTTGCCCCGATACCTCTAGTAACGGCCTTAGAATAGGCAACACCTGATTATTAGTGGTAATATGACTTTCTGACTCGTTATTGTCACCCGCGTAATTTTGTTGCGCTGTATATTGCTGCTGTAAAATGTTCGTATTGTTTGATTGTGGTATTTTTTGTAACGGTCTTGTAGTAGGCAGCATTAAATTGCAACGCAGCATCTTTGTAGTAGGGTTTGGTGGCATGTGATTGTAATTATTTGAATATGCATTGTACGGCAAATAATTCTGTTTGTTTCCGTCATAAGCAGATTGATGCTCATATTGTAGATGCTGTTGAGCCGAAGGAGAAATCGTCGTCATTGGTTGAGGGTAAAATTGCGGGGCAGTTAACGCAAAATCCGATACATACGAACCGATTTGACCGTTGCACGGATTGTTGTACTGACAGTTATTCTGAATGTTGTAGTAATTTATGTACTGACTATTATACTGATTGTTGCACCGATAACTATCATACGAATTGACCTGTAACATGTTCAAAAACGAGCGGTTCTCTGTTTCTTGTCGCGGGAGAGACATCAATGTACGCGACAAAGTCACAGACGCTGTTGAAGAGGAAGTCGCCTGAACCTGATTAAGCAATCCCTGATCGTAGTAGAACGCGCTTTGCTGCAACGGTTGAATCTCTGGCACGCCGGCCCCATCGAAATATGGAGATGATTTGCGTGATTTACCGCGGCCTTTTTTACACTCCTTCATATTGTACGAACAGATGGAATCATACACCACGCCAAGCACGTTTTGAACACTGCTGGTTTTCACTTAGAGAATACTTTCATCCCCAGCGACCGATGAAGATTTAAATCTTGCACATCATGACACTACCATCACCGTAATATCATCGCCGTGGAATATTGTACACTGATATCCATGTACATCCATACATTCGTCCATTGATATCCATTGACCGTGGAATAGCCGTTAATTAATAATATATATGATAAAATCGCGTCGAAACTGCCTACGTTCACGCACTCGTCGCGATACTTCAGTCACTCGAAGTTAACTGCAAGACGACTTGCAACAGAATGAAACGAGAACCTATACTACCTAACCAACCTACCCTGTTCTTTTCTTTTTCTCTGTGTCTTTGTGTCCATCACGTCCTAGGCTTGTCCTAGGTTAGAACGTAACACCATAACAGAAAAGGCAACTCTGCAAACTTTTGACGATTTACAACTGGACCATGCGGACAGAGACTGCAAAGAGCAGCGGGGTAGAGTGGGGAATGAGCTACCCTTGGTGCGTGTCTCCGTACCTCTCGCCGAATCGAGGCAACGCAGGGGAGCTTTTCCTCTATCAGCTGCCTTTTGATTCACCGCTAAGGCCACCCCCGATATACATTCGACTTTCGATCTGCCGTTCATGCCGCAGTCCCCTCCCACTATTAATGCAATTGACACAGAACCCATATTGGGTCCCCCTTCCAACCCGACCTCGCACAATGTACGTTGCCATGTGCGAACGTACGACGTTTTCGCTGGGGTCGTTGCTCCGATTCGTCAATTTGTAATCAGCTTGCTGTCTCAGTGAGTGAAACTTTTGTTGTTTCTTCTTTTTTTCGATCGGATTAAATAGAAGCGAAGCAAGAGGCATGGGCGAAAAAAAGAGATCAAGTAAAATGGCATTAAGAAAGATGTATTCATTAAACACACTTGATGAACAAGGTGTCGATAACGGGGCTGAGATTATAAAAACAGCTAGAAAATAATTATCCTTAACGAAAGATAATAGACGGTCTTGCGGACAAACTATAAATAGTAATGCACGGCCGAAAAAGTGATTAATGATGCGTTTGGAGCGGTGACCAAAGCTACGGGGATTCCAAACGGCCGATCAGGACGGACATGCGTCTGCACGCATCCGTACACGTCACACGTATAGGATCGAACGATGCTGAAGGAGCGTTTCGATACGGAATTCACGCCTGTAGATGCGAAATGCATTCTGTGCTAGCTGACTGGAACGATAACAATAAATAATAATCCGCAAAGGGCGATACTTGTGGGAAAGGACGAGAATATATGGAATTGGAAATACATCGCAATAATTTTAGCTATCGATATTATTTTCGTAAATCTGCAACGTCTCATTAATATGTAATAAAACAGGTATAAAATAAAATATCTCCTCTCTTTTGAAGTGTGAATTTAAAAATATATTTATTTTTCCACGCGATGCTTCTTTATCTTAAACATACAGTTTGTTGAAAACTAACCTAATTTTCAATTATTAGACATAGGCACGTATTTCTAACGTCTAGCATTGTCCCGCAGGTATCAGGTGAAAGAGAATGAAGATTTACAACCATCAGGTCTGCAACTTCAAGGTCTACAAAGCCCTGTTGGCACTCTTTTGTCTCTTTGTAAAAGTTATAGAATTTTCTACGAAAGTTAGAACCTAGATTGGAAAAGGACATATTTCCTCGAACAGTTCGCTCCATCTGTGACGGGAAGAAAGTTTTGGAATTTGAAAATTCCCGTTACAATTTCGGTTACAAATATAACACTTGGACAAAGTAAAGATCTATAAATATTTTCTAAATATTTTAAATATTTTGTTGTTGAATAATTATTTTGCCAAATCTCCGAACTTAGCGGAAATGGATGACATACATCTTAGTTGTTTTCAATGTCTTCTAGATGACTCTGAGATATATTTTAAATATTTATTCTGTTTGGGCAAACGCAATTGTAATTAATTTCGTATTAATCTTTCAGTACAAATTGATACGTTACATTTTATTTCCGCACAGTGTATTGTATAGAACGTAAAATTTCACAGAGCGACATATGTGCTTACGCTGTTCCTATTCAATTCTCCGCTGCACGAATGACGATCGGAGTAGGGCACTTTCGGTAGTGCAAAAACGACGCCATTTATAGCCATTTGGGAAAATTGGGAGTAGTGGGATCGAACCAGAAGGCCTCTATTATCATGCGATTGATTTATATTTTGTTTGCGGTATATATGAGTAATGCCGTGTCACACGGAGAGATTAGGTATATCTATTGCTATATATGTTAATAACTGAATATATATGTTAATACTGAATAACAATATATAACGAAATTCGCCGGTACTTTATTTATTTCCATTAGATTGGCATGCACTTTTGTTAAATATTGTAACAAATTTATACATTATATAGTATCGTATCATATTCTCAAAATTTGTAATGCAAATATTTTCACTCAAAATTGACCAGTAAAATCCATATATTCCCTCGTTATAGGGATAAATTCATTGTAATCAATTGAAACATTCGCTCGTATGAAGTCTTAAAATCCACTCTAAGCTGAAGTAAAATATTTACTTACAATTTAATTACAATTCCGAATGGCAATATTTTCATTATTATCGTGAACAAATTTTTCTTTATTTCGGAGTGGAATTTTGCTTCGAGAAATTTATAGAGTAATGATTCTTGTAAAAATATTGCGTCGAAATAATTTCGATCGTAGTCTTTAATTATGCTATAGAAATAATATCAGTTGAGTAAAAAGGAGCTAATAACTGCTAGACTTATAACCGTTTAGCAGCAAAAACGACGAATATCTTGGAACAGAAGGCGGACATTTCTGGGCGGAGTGGAAAAACTGTCGGGTGTCGTTGGAACCTTTTGATCTCTTGCCGACCTTTTAGCTAAGAGTGCCGAAAGACGCAACAAGACGTAGCATTATACGTAATATTGACATTCCTTTTTGCCTTCTATTGTGATTAATTATTCATATTTAACTTTTCCGCGAGGCAATTTTTTGTAAAAATGTTACCGAAGAGGCACATTGACAGTTATAAAATATTTCATGTAATACGATGTTCAAAAGAAGAAAGAAAAATTTCTGAGGTCACTTCAGGTAGTCTCGCTCTCTCTCTCTCTCTCTCTCTCTCTCTCTCTCTCTCTCTCTCTGTCGCGTTTCTAAAGAATTCCTTTTAAAGGAAGTTTCCTTTTTTTTTCAAGAAGATAGGAATGCTTCATTGTATTAAAACCGAAGACACAGATATTCACATTGTTAGCAACCATTTTTCAATTTTATTCAGCTACGAAGTAGGAAGAAATAAGCAGAATAATCGTATTCGATTTTAAGTATGACTTTGTGTAATCGATCGGATATAACCGGAACTGCCCAGTTTGCTTAATTAAAAATTTATTTCTGTGATAAAAACATTTTTACAGGCCAGACATATTAAACAAAAAAAAACACATATTAAAACACATTAAAAAAAAAACAAAACTTTACGTACGGAATGTGGTTGAAGCATTATTGATCCAGCATTTGTTTGCGCAATGTGTTTACTTTCTTCATAGCAGATATATTTCCTTCGCGCTATTCCTCGTCTACCCGGCAGGAGCACCCTTGTGCCGAGTCCCCGAACTCAGCGGGGATGGATTCGTGGCGGCGTGGCATGCAGGATTGGCAGTGGCACGAGAGAAAGGAGCGGCTGTGCGGAGAGAGCAGGACGCTGGAAATATCATTTATTATAGCCGGGACTGTCAATCTCCGCCACATTGATACGATGATGGTCCACCGACATCACGATGCTTCGCTAGCTGCTCATCCGCCGTGGAGCCGCCGATATTCCTCTTTCGATGCGTGTGCGTAGATTGTTCCGTTATAACGTTATAAATTAAAATGGTATGCCTAATTATTGGAAAATGTATAACATTTGCCTATTCTAATTGCGTATTAGCATAATTGTAATTGCGATATTATGTCGGAGATGTGAAATTATAAATTTAATTATACCGTATAGTCGCACGAATTCCGAGAGAGCGATGGATAAATGCTTGGTCCGGGTATTATCGAAATATTAAAATTATGCACTCTTATTAGATGAATTGCTCTATTGTATGTCAGGAAGACTCTTAAAAAGAACACATTAGCGTTCGCACGCTCGATTTTTGTTACCGCTAATTACATCGGAGGAAGAGTGCTGAAAGCATATAGCGACATGTTTAACTTTAATTAGAAAGTCCCACTAGACAAGATGTTTCTTAGTCGTCTATTAAAACAAACAAGTTTTTACCCGTCGAAATAATTGTTTATATATTCGAAATAAAGACACTGGCGACAAATTGAAATTGAAATATAAAGTTGCACACAATTAATTATACACGATACATTAGATTTCCAGTTAAGATAACACATCTATAATAATAATAGTCCAAGCTAATAATTGTCCATAATAGCCATTAGTCAGCAAAAGAGGATTCTAAAGCGCTTAATAAATGATGTTGTTTCTCTTTCTCGTACTCTGTAAAAAATTGCGCAAACTGCAAAATTTATTAAATTTCTGCAATGTAACATAATATGATGTAATATATTTCATTATATTATATAATAAAAACAAATTTATATCTAAGTAAACTTTAATTGAACTTTGCTATTGTTTTATTTAGTTATGTTATTTACACATATGCGCATACATTTTCTTTTTTTGTAGGTCATATTTAATCTCCACAATAATTACTGTTTTTACCGCTCTTCAGAGGCTAGTAAATACGTTTTAAAACAAAATGTATATTGGGTGGCGAAAGTTAATGAGACTTTTGCGTGTACCGGAAACCGATGGACTCCTCTGCCGCCAGGGAAGACAACTTCAACATTCTCTTGTAAGCTGCATGTCGTGTGTGGTGGCCACTCCCAAATTCTGCACGCACATTAAATACTTCATGCATTCGACAAACTGCCATCTGACCGTCGACGAAATAATTTCACACGATCAAGACACCGATAATAATCTAATTATGACACTTAATCTTCGTGCTAATATAACTACGTACTTTTAGACAAAAGTATTTTAATGAGTATGATACATACATGCATTCGAGCAAATATTGTTGAGCGAGAAGCAGTGTTACAATTAGTAGCTTCTTTACTTTGAAGTAGAAAGAAATTTATCCAAAAGAGAAATTAAAAGTCTAGTCACGTTATTACAGCACTTCACTTGATTTAACAAAGGACAGGCATTTATATCATGCTGATAAAATTATGCAAATATCAGTATCTGTCAAAATTGTATTTTTGCCTGATGCAGCTTGCATTTTATAAAGCTTCATCTAACGACTCACACACGACATTTGGAATTTAATGTCGGACGATTGTACAAATCGGCGAGAGAAAATTGCAACATACATAAACGATCGCGAATGTAACATCAACGAAGCTCACGATCGAAACGCATCGGGGAAACATAAATCATATTCCTCGAACAGCGAACGGCTACGATCGTGATCGAGGAGAATAACAGCGACGAATATTTTCCCGCTAAATTCCCCTCTTACGAGTCGAGTAACGTCATCCTGGCGATGTTGAGGTTTGTCCAGCAAGTAACTGAATCTAGATCGACGTGACATAGCGCTTCAAGGTTGACGAAACGTTTCATTAAATCTACCCTCGCTCTACGGCCGCGCTCGCAATTACGCGGCGTACTTGCCTGGACACCGCGCGGCGCTCGTTAACGCGGAGCGATCGGCTCGCGCGAACAATCTCTCCGGGCTGAGATCCCGCGGGATCGACTAAACGTTTAATTCATCCGAACGAAAGCCGCGAACGGAAAGTCCGAGCATCTCTGCACGATGCCGAGACACGATGGCGTTCAATGTATCATTAGGTAGTTATTGCGATCACTTGGTTGGGACCGACGTAGGTCGCTTACGTGTGGTGTGCATGTGTATGTGTGTGTGTGTGTGTGTGTGTGTGTGTGAGAGAGAGAGAGAAAGAGAGAACACACAGACTCAACCGGTGCGCACGTGCACGTAGGTATACGCATGTAGGTACACGCGGGGTAAGCCATCGTGGCTTCATTCACGTCAGATGTGAGGCGACCACGTCATTTATCTGCCAGCCAGCCGGGCTAACGATGCATTGCTTGTTTGTTGGCCGAAGTCGTGACATCGCTATATAGACCGCGCGCGCGGCCGCGCATTCGTACACGAAATGCAGATGCACACGTTCTTGAGGATGGAAATAAGTGAATTACGCCGCGAGCAGCGCCAGGTATTTAGCGAGTTATCGCCGAGCCGGCTCATTAACACCCCGATTCACGTATATATTCGGCTGCGCGCACCACGTCGATACGCATCGGCGATGCCTGTGTATTTACGTACGGGATTATGGCCGATTTATGCCGGATTATTCGCCGGTGGGCTATTGCCGTGCTTCTTCGCACGTCGCGCGTCGCGCGCCCATTAGCCGTGATCACGCGATTGTTTGTAGTCGCGTTATCGACGGAAAAATAGCCCGGCAGGCGCGCGCGGGCGGATGCGCGCCGATAATTTTAATCGGTTATTGACTGCAAAAACGCTCGCTCTTGTTCCGCGCGCGATACACGCCGAAGCAGTGACACAATATTCGCTAAGACGCTGTGACGCGCGCGGAGGGAAGTGGCGCAATTGCGAGAGCGGAGCTGCACTTCGCGCGTTACCACGTCACCTCGTGATACCGTGTTAACTCCCCGCGTCGATGCACGGCTAGCCGGCTGAACACTTCGAATTGCGCGCGAGTCGTGTCGAAGTGTCGAAGCATGTTTTATCGGTGTGTAGCAGGTATACTAACAAGGCTCAGTTTTTTATTTATTTTTAGCTGTGCGAAATGGTGTTACAATGAAGCAGATGCATACTTGACACTTGGTGGGAAAAAAAAAAAAAACAGAAAACGGAGAGGACACAGGAAAATTACGCTAAATTAAGACATTAACTTAGTCGTTGGAAAAGTTCAGTTCTGAAGAAACAAGCAAGAGTCCATGTTGCGCGGAGACATTTCAGAATGCAATGGAAAAGGTAATGGCTGCGACTTGCTCAGTCAATAGCCGCTAATAGCAACATCGGTTGCGTTTAGAAAACACGACTATCACTTGGGAAAGTCGTCCATGATTAATGTATACTTCTGCACCTACCGGTGACATTCATTTTCCAAATGTCGGTCTTTCAACTGTTACGTTCTCAAAACGCAATTATCACATCAAAGTTATGACTTCTCATTCGACAATGTAATGTACGTTGTTTTTGGTTGGTGTGCCACAACATTGCCGTGTTTCACAATGCCGTGTGTGTCCTGAAGTATCCGATTGTTCTATTGAAAAGATGGAAAAGTGAGAAATTCCAACAGAAGTTCTAACAAAATTCTAACTCAAGTTTATGACTCAATATCTGTCTTTGTTAATAAACCTATACGCATAAATAAATACGCATTTATTGGCAAATATTTGTAGAAGCAACAATAAATCCACAGCATATAAAACACACCCATGCGTATCTTTTGTTTTTCCTTTCATTTGCGAATTTTTTCGTTTACTCTGTAAATGGTTATTTTAATTCCGCTGTGTTAATTAACCGGAAGGCTAAATTTAACGGACTTGACAAAACCGCTAGCAAATCGCAAAAAAGCTATGCGATTATCAGCACTTGCATCGTGCATCTGTGCGGTATCCATGAAGGTAATTAGGCAGCTACTGCCAAAGTCATTTATTATTACTCGACCGTCAGAGACAGCGAAAGAAGGATGCACGACCCTCCGCTGTCATTGTGCGTGTAAAAAGTGAAGACCACCAACGTGAAAGTTGTCAAACTCACTGGCCGTACGATAATGTCGAGCAAAAATTCAATCGCTCGTAATTACATCGTAATCTAGATACAACGAATGTTCATTTTTTTTAAGGAAACCGAATTGTTTTCCTCTTTTTGCAAATTATTATACTGCATCGAGAAATTGTCTCTGCGGCTGCACCTGTCTTACTTTAATGAGACACATACGTCTCGTAACGATTATATGAAAGCGACATACTTAATGAATTAAAAAGCAAATATTTCGCACATATGTCTCCGTTATTTTCCCACAGAACAAATGTGACGAACGATTAATTTCGTTTGTAGGAGATTTCATACCAGACGTCAACGATGTCTGAAAGAATTCAATTTTGTTTATTTGCGGAAAGTTATGCAGGAAAGAAGAAGACATGATCGTCGTCTCAAGACCCGCGCGATCGCCGAAGAAGAATTAGACGTTAACGTTCGCGCGGGCGGCTAGTAAGATTGAGGGGGGTACGTAGAGGCGGGCTCAGTTACGTCCAAATAGAAATTCAATTGATCTTGTCCGGTAGTGTCAGGTAATCCATCTTGTTCCTTCCGCCATGTCTGGAGCCGTGTCTAAGTTGGACCGTGAGGAGGTTTCCGCGTCTCTCTTCCTCGTTCTCCACTTTTCGGTTGCCGCGACGTCCTGTTGGCTATACGATTCCGTCCGTCGCCGTGGAAAAAAGGGGACAGCTGTCCAGCCGACCGCCAAACTACCCATTAATTACGTTCCTGGACCCACTCACACTTACTCACTTGTTTGTCTTTCCACCCCTCTCTCCCTCTCTCACCCCGCGCGGCCTCGCTCAGTTACCGTCATCCGTTGTGAATAAAAATCGCTCTGCCAAACTACAAGTCGTGCCTTACAGTCCCTTCATTCCGTGCCCTACGTGCGTATGTACGAATCCGTTTTTAACGAACCGACAAACGAACAAACGAACAAACGAACGGACGGACGGACGGACGGACGGACGGACGAACGGGCGCCGTGCGATCGCCGTGGAACTTCAGCACGGAGCGTCTTTACAGCTACTGTACAATTATTGCGCATCATTTTACAACGAGGAAATTGATCTCGATTTCCATTTAATATTCACGGTGACTAAATTTGCGATTTGCATTCACCTGCCGTTCACAACAGCGTGCAGCTGCATCGCGAAACGAGTGCCGCAAGATAACAATGATTATATCCCCCCCCTCCTTCCTCCGCTACCCCCTCTCCCCTCCTTTCACCTCTACCGGATCGCCGATTTTATCCTCTTTCTTTCTCTCGCTCAGGTAAGATCAAAACGAGGCAGCGCAACGATCGCGACTACGATAAGCTACCAACTACCAGCGAAAGCCGTTCATGCGCGTGCTCGCATGGGATTGGCTAATTGGTAATACAACTTTATTACTCCCCGTTAAGTAATGACGGTCTGTGTTAAGTATGCCTGGTCCGAAGGGCATGGTAAGGACCGTGTGTAACGATACCGGGCCGAGATAAGGGCACGCATGTAGCGAGAGAGATAAGCCATTGTAAAGTATAAAGTACAGAGAGGCGCATCCTCTAATAAGTCGATAAGGGTCACCTACCGGACGATTTCTGACCGCCTTGAGCGATCTCAAGTAGATGATCTAGTCGATGATCGGGGGAACCGACTGACGTCTTCGGGACGCCTACATCCGCCGCAGTGCGATGCATGTGTTGCGTGCAGATTATTTTAACGAATGATCGGGAGATTTGAGGAGAGGAAGCTCATTCGGGAAGTTACGCGTCGCGTTGCTGTCGGATATCCGTCACATGTGAAAGGGGATGCCTGTAGACAATGGGCGTGGGGATGGGGATGGGAGGGAAGGAGGGAGTCGTGTCAAGTCGCGAAACCGATCGACGTTAAGAGACCCGTCTCGAAGCGCGGATTAGGTTATTTACGAAATTCGGTCGAGACCCGGGGGGAGAAAAGTGGCCGAACGTTCGCAGCTACTTACGCCGATAATTAATAACGCCGGGATCAAAAGTGCGGCCATTGAATGTCCGCTCATTCACAAACAGTCTTCGCGGCCCAGCTGAATGCGAACCAGATCGTTATAAGGGTATTCTGTGGGTGTGCCACGTATGGGTGTCTTCAGGTCAATACTGGTGGTTTCGTGAATACAATTATTAATGCCGTCATTAAGAGCATTTACCATCTTTTCCTTCCTTTTTTTTCATATCAACGATCAGGAAGATATATAATCCATTACTCAGTCCTCGGTTGTTGGACGTTCTCTTTCCTCGGCCTTTCCCGACGGTTGCCGATAGAACGTCGCGTGAAAGAAGGTCGCGTCTCTCTTTTCACACATACATGTACATGCGCGCGCGCACACATACACATACACACACACACACACACACACCGGGATGTGTTTTATAAAGTTCTTAATCGTTCGAGTAAAATCGTGATTTGTTTGATTTGATTTGAGTTCGACCTGACTCAAGACGGCTGTGTATAACTGTGCATAACTGTGTCGGAAAATAAATTGTGACTGGTTAATTTTTATAGATTGTGAACAACGAAAAAAAGTAGTTTATACATATGGGACATTTTTTCCGCAGTGTGGAAATATTATCTGTGTTGCGGGCGACATGAGAACTGGAGATGTGGAAACTCGGTCGTTCTATCCTCGAAAATATATTTTAATCGTTGTTAAGAGAAGGGGGCCACGCGGAGGGACGAAATGCGCGACGGTAAGAGACACGTGTCAACGCGATAAATCGTAGCGATGTCGGACATACGGTTCGCTTTGGGCGGCAAATTCGGACGTATGAGTATAAACTGCGCATAGGCGGCGACTATAAAGATGTTCACATTCTCTCATAATTCTGTTATTCCTAAAAAAAGAAAAGGATGTTTCTCGAAAGTGTGTTAATCAATTGATATCAACAAAAAATCTATATTTGCAAAAAAGAAAAATGTCAAGATATATATATCCATGACTCAAATAAAAAAATGAAAAAATAAATAAACAAATGAATAAATAAATGTACGCGTAACAGTCACACAAAACATAATACGATAGACATGAATATATAAATGAAAAATATAAGTATGTGTTAAAAATGAGCCTATAAGTTTAATCGTACTGCCATGATATTCGTCTCCTCTCTTTTGTGATCGGCGACACAAATCGGCGCTGATGGATATGTGGTGAACGTGTACATGTATGTGTGTTTCACAAATGTTATAAATGTTAGCGAGTGATCTGAATAAATTGAGGAATCTTCCTATCTTCCGTCTATGAAGCCGCATATAGGTGCTTGCAACGAAACGCAATGACAAGCGCTCGTAGTTGCATAAAAATGACTCCTCGACGCGGATCAAGGATGATCTCCAAGGCGGAGAGAAGGCTCGAGAGGCATCGCCGGGATTATATGGGGCGCGTCCATGTATACGCTCCTATGCGCGCACCCTAGAATATTTCCATCTCTTCCTGTCTCTTCCGATCTCCGCTTGCATCCGTCCTCGTCTTCTTCCTTGTGCTATTTCTTTCTCCCCTTGTATGACAAACACGTCACGCACAGTTTACATCCGCACCTTAACCAATTATTTGTTGCTTCCGTTCCGAAAGACTATTTTCAACCGATGACACTCATACATCGCGTTTAAATCCATTGGATAACATTTTTACACAAAACTATTCGAAACGCTGCATTTCTCTCATCCACACACATACACACACACACACACACACATAAAAAATAGTGTATATTATTTAAAAAAATAATTTTGTTAGGAGATTGTTAAAATTCGTCGCAATCTTCAAAATTTTTCTTTTATAAATAATAACGAAACGATAGATGTATTTCGTGCCACGTCAAAATATCTCTGACATTACCCACCACTTTCTGCTACCTTCCAGGTAACCACTTGATTCAGCCTCTGCGAAATACTCGTCGTAAATGCCGACGAAATCATCGACGAGCCAACGAGCTGTTGCAAGCCTCTGAAGCACTTCTCAAAAGGGTTTTCGTCCCAGTCACAAAAAGTCAATGATGTTTGGAGCAGCAACCGCACTTTTTTCTCCGAATCCTATAAGAGTGCAGTGTCGTGTTACCTGTCTCTCTTGCTCTTGAAAATAATTTCGCAACGCACACATTACCAAAACATAACGAAAGAAGCAGGAAAGAAAAAAAATCACAGCATGAAGAAGCGACTATGATGTTCGAGGTAGGCGGTCGAGGTTCTTCTAACAACAGGGTTTCCCTCTATAAGATTTCTTTAAAGTGGCAATGCGGCTTACAACTAGGGAGTTACAGCGCCGGCTGGTGGTACAAGATTTGAGCCCGAGAGGGAGTTATCAGGCGACTTAATCGAACGATTAATGGTACGGTACGTGTAAAAGTCCCACAAACGAAGAAGCGCACGAAGGAGAAGCAGCAGGAGGAGAAGGAGGAAGAGGAGATGAGGGTGAGAATCAGCCAGTTCGGATCGACCATGAAACCGCTTGTTAAATGTTGGACCCCAACGCAGATCTCTCGTGCATTTGAATAAAACAACCTGGCACTGAGTAATTAAGTAATTACCTGCAGCGCGATGGGATCAACCGCTGGAATCACAATCCGCCACTGTCATAAGTGCGAATTGCGAAATCGTGGTCGTAAAGAACGTACGATTAGCATATGCCGATGTAGACTCAATGTGCAATTAGACAGAGTTTGAAATTGCGAAATCCAACTCGAAATGCCGTGTGAATTTGTAATAAATGTAATAGCTTCGATTTCATTGTTATAACGCGTATTCGATAGAAATAAATTTTCTCGGAATTTCTGCTGTCGAATCTTAATTACCCTGTGGAAACATTATCATTGTTGGTCGAATTATTTATCTCTAGCCTTCCTGTGAGCGTAAAATTCTGCGCCGCGGTTAACATGTAAGATGTTCTATAAACACGATCTAATCCTTTTTCCCGGATTGGAGAGATATAAAAGAGGTGATGGAACGGTTGGAGACACGTTAAATATTAAGCTGACCACGAAGCACGTCCGACTTGGTCCATAATGAGAACATCCTCTTATATCTTTGAGATAAAATTCGTGCGCTTCCACCACTGATTAGCGTTGCTCATTAGCGGTGGATTAATATGATCCGGCCAACGGAACGACCAAGCAAATACACGGTAGTCGTGTCCACGACAACATCCCCATTCGTTTGGATGCTCCGAGGTGTTCAAATTTCAACGCGCGCCCACAGGATATAATTTAATGCAGATCAAAAAGATACTTTATCCCGAGATATAATATTACCGGATTGTTTTCATAATTATCTTGAAGTGAAAATATCATAATTTAACAATTATAATATTTTTAATAACGTTTCTATTGTAAAATATCTGTATAATCCGTAATTTGTAAAAATTAATAAATTCAAGTGTAGATAAATTAAATGGATAGATAAATAATATCAAGAGATTAACATTTTTGATCAACCAACTAGCTGCCGTTAATTTTTTTGTCTGCAGTTGTTCTATGTATCGTTTTATAGCTCTCGGTGGAATCACCTAAATATGCGAGCAATTTTTACATTTCGACAGTCTGCAATAATATTACAGCTCGTAGATTGAAAGTTACGAGGTAAAGAAAGCCGAAGTCTTACATGGAACTTCGCGCGAAATCAAGATCTCGGTTGAGGTGGGGACACGAAGGTAATGGCGTGTGCATTATTCTGATAAATCGCTCCCACTGGCGTCAATCCTGACTTCAAGCTGACGGGAAATCTTGCCCAGCAAAATCTATACCTACACAGGATGCTTGAACTCAACTCGCGGCATCATCAAATGGAAACGGTGAACGAAAAATATATCGTATTATAGAGAGATTACATCTATTTTATCTTTGTTATAATATTGTATGAGAACGCATAGTGCATTCTCAGATAGATAATAACAAATAATTGAGCAAAATCAAATTTTTCCTATTACTTCATATACGTACTTGATTTTTCTTTCCAAGTATTGAGCAAATTAGTAGCATTTAACACAAAAAGTTTGTGTTTGTTGTTTGGGACACGGGGCGAATTTACAATAGATTGATTAATGGCTTAGCAATGTATTTGTCACATTGTTCGCCAACGTCGAAAGAATCAGTTGACTGTTATACTCCGACCGTGAAAAGCCACAGATTTATCGCAGTATTATCGATCGCGGCGCGCTGACGCTAATTAGCAAGTAACGGATATTAACCATAAAATTAATAATTTTGCCATGAAGTATGTCACACATAAATACTATATAATATATTAAATAGCTTAAAAAGGAGAAAGTATCGAAAAGAATTTTTTTTTAAAGGCTACCTAATTTCATTTGTTTATCAACATGGAATTTGCAAGACTATCAATTTTAAAAACATAACTATATATATATATATTATATATATTTCATAAATTTAATATCATTCACACGCAATAGAATACGTTTGAGATGGTATCGATAAGCAAGTGGCACGAATCTACACTGTACCTGGAAACCTGAAAAGGACCTTCCACCCTGACTGCCAAGATTTATCGTTTAAACGTGCACTTATGGGTTCAAGAGAGGGTATTGCGTCACATACGTGAGGCAATAAATCATCAAAATATGAGTCTATGATAGAACGCGAAGAAATAACATTTAGTATCTTGTTCGCTGAATTAATGTCAACTAAGGCATTTATGCGGATAAATGATTGGGTACAACACACATCAAACGCGACGAAAAATGTACCAATAACGCAACAACAATGCCGGGGAAGTCTAAAAAATCCTGCAGAAGTATTGTTTTAGCTATTCATGATGCACGAGGCAACGGTGAGTGCTGAAGTCCATATGGGTGTTGGAAAATAAAATTTAAGAATGCACGATCGCAGATGCGAAGGCGCAAAAAGATGCAAGCAAGTCAAGGAAAATCAAGTTCATCCTCGCACATGCTGCTACTTGGCGGGATCTTCGCGCGAATGGAATTATAGCACGTGCTGTGAAACGTTGAACCCTCTCTCCGTTTATCTTCCCACTGTGGTAAAAAGAACATCTCTTCTGATACTCGGCCGTCATTCATACGTACTGAGAATTAATGGCTTGTGCAGCTTGGAATTCCGTTATTTACGTTTCAACATTGAATATCAATCTGATTAGTTCATGAATAAAGTATGTATTCTCTTCTTCTCTTTCTTCTTTCTTTATACATATATATATATATATATATATATATATATATATATATATATCTGTATGTATGTAATTTACAAATATCCAAATTAATAGAGTTTGTAAGAAAATGTACTGAAATTACATTCATTGTATTATAATAATTCAATTAAGGAACTTAAAACATACATGATTGATTTTATATAAAATAGTTAATTTATCGGTAAGATGAAATGATTTGAGAAATGGTAGAGATTCGTACATATATTTTCTCAAAAACTAATAATTTGGATGTTTAAATAATATTTTCTCGGTTATTGTTGAATAAATCACCTGCCACAAATATAATTTAGTCATTAAAAGTTATTGTGGAAACTTAATTCATAGTGCCCATTATCGTTTCTGTCATCATTCATTCCCTCGTTGATTTCAGGCGTAGCAAACGAATGAACGATTCGCAATGATGACGGTATTATCTATTTAATGCGAGCCTCTTTAGCCTCTGCTAATTGATAGCTGGGTATTAGCGTAATTGTAATGAGTCAAAATTACGGCAATCATGCGGTCTAGCGCCTTGAAGGAGGAATTAAAGTCTTTTGCTTTCGGTGTGGATTTTCAAAGAAACTTATAGCCATATTCTTCCGCTAAGCCGAGAAATCGATTCTTTTGTATGTTCATAGCGTGAAGAGATACACGTTTTTCTATTATATTCTATCGTGACTATTGAATGAAGGAACACATAAGTATTTAGTTCGTAAAAAGGGGTTGTTCCTGACGTGTAACGTGATGTATATTTATTCAGATGAAGAACCATGAAGTTTATCCCCTCACTTTCGCATCACGTTGGTAATTCATTCGACCCACATCTAATGAGACCTATAAGATAGACCAGTGGAGGATAGTCGGCTAACGGACGTGGTTTAGAGGGTTGAAAACGATGATGGGACCTAACCGATGGCCATCTGTCGGATAAAGCGTGAAACTGCTGTCAACGTTCAGTCACGAGTCCTGTGGCTGGTAAAAGCTGTCGTGAATTGTGTATCGGTGGGTGGTTAATGAGAATTGCAGAATTGCATGGGTGCTTGTGATAACGATCGATATATGATGTGCATAAAATCTCCTTTGTGTACGATATTTTATCGAACACAACTGAAGAAAATTAGGAATTCAATATTAGATCAAACTGTCATTAAGAATAAGATTAATACGGTATAAGGTATAAAGAAAAGTATAACGTGAAACGTGAAATCAATCATCAACGTAAAATCAATCAGGATATTGCCATGAACTTCAATGTTCTAGAAAAGGATAAAAGAGACAGTAAATTTGACTGTAAGCAAAAACGAGTGGAATATCAATAGCTTGAAATCCGGTTTTCTGTGTACCATGGCCTTGAAGTCGGCGATACGATAATGTAAGCAGTAAAACTCTAACAGTAAGTAAATTAACCAATTACATTCGAGAATTATCGGAACGTAAGATCATTATTTTGAAATTCTCGACCGTGATTAGTCCATTTGTTTATTACTTAAGTTTAACTGCTTTCAGTGCCAACGACTAATAGTTATAATAATTTTTGAGAACGCACAAATAATATTATATACGCAGCCTTCACTGTCTCTATTAATTACACAAGAGAAATATAAAAGAAATAAGATACGTAATGAAGAAGTTACCTCAGTTTTCGCGAGCAAAGAATCAGCAGGAAAAGTTTCGTCGTCTTGGCGTTCGACGAAATCGAGAAATATCGAGTTCGATTCGATACGATATAATTCGATATAAACGATGTTCATTCGATTAATATTCGTTAGAGAGCCGCGAAAGAGCGAATTTATTACGGTACGGCGCTAGCGTGGCCGCACGTTCTTTCATCCCATAAGCACGCCCTGATTATTTATGAATGTGCAAACGCA